CCATTCATGAACTGCTTTTTTTTTTTTTTTTAATAATCATAAATTACATAAAAATAATAATATCAATAAAATCCTCAGAGTTCTTTTTGATAATATTCTTTAAGAGTAAAATGAACTTTTTTTAACGTAAATTTGACATATTGTGTGTTTGTTATGCAGAGATAACAAATGCCCGTCTAGCGTCCTCTATGATAGAACGTCACCTTTTGAATTTAATATTCAAATATAAAACTACAGTCAATCCTCAATAATTTAAAGTTGGTGGGACTTATGATAAATTTCAGATCATCGAATTCTGAGTGGTTCAAATTATCAAGAGGACAAAAAATCAATTCGAATTATGGAGTTATGAAAAACAATTTCATACCTACGATAATAATTCGTTAGTTGTCGAAAATAATAACCTATATTTATACATAATTTATTTTACCTTAGGTAAATTATTAAGATACAATTATTTATAAGAAATAGATTTTGGTGAATACACTTCGAATTGCCTGTGTTGACGGCTAGTTTTCTCTAAAATTTTGCTACAAATATTACCGGGTGATGTACATTATTTTCATTCAAATTCCCTCAGGATTTTTAAAGGTACTAACAATTACTTCGAATTACCGAAAGTTTCAATTATCGAGTGTACTGTGTATAGAAGTACATGTAAATACAGCTAGAAAGTCATAAGAACAGATAATTGCATTCAAATTGTGTTAAACCTATAACCTGTAACTGCAGTATACTGTAATATACAATGATATTATATATTACAGTACGCCAGTACGGTAAATTAAATAATGCATATACATCCAGAAAAATGACACTTGCAAGGAAAATTCGTTATTCTGTCTTATTTATATTATTACTATTTCTAAGTGTTAGTATGACATTGGTATCTAAATAGGTATCTAATTATTTTATTTCATTTTTGTTTCAGAAATTAATCAGTGGACGAATACAACTATGAGTGATGAGGGAAGAAGATTTAGAAATTGCGTTAAAGGTAGTTATTAACTATTAAGTATATCATTTTATTCCTTACAAGTTACAAGTTATAACTTTTAATATTTGAGATAATTAAAATTATGTTTTCATTTTTAAGGTGGTGATCGTGGGAAATGGCGCAGTCGGAAAATCGAGTATGATTCAGCGTTACTGCAGAGGGACATTTACCCGGGACTATAAAAAAACAATTGGAGTAGACTTTTTGGAAAGACAAATAGAGTATGCTACTTAAATAAATACTTCATTATGCTGCAGAATTTCTACTGACTTAGAAAAAAAACATGATACAATTTATGCACCAATCACGAGTTAATACGACTATACAGGATAATTTTTTAAGCATGATCACTGCCATTTTTCCCTTAAATAGAACATTAATTCAAATTCTGATTTGATTCTAACTCTGATTTCTAAGTAGACTTAAAGATAATATTTTTTTACTATTTAATGAGTATCTTGTGGCAATCCTAGCTTCTATTTTTCAAATGCGAACCCCTCCCCCCTTTTTTACTGAAAATTATTTAGCGGATAATTTTTTTTGAGAACTTTGATATATCTAAATCAGAATTCAAGCTAGTAGTTTTTGAGTTACGTAATTGTGTTTAAAGCATAATATGTCTATGGTAATGGGTTAAGTTGATAGGGGGCTTAGATGATTTGAAAAAGTTGGCAATTAGATACTATTGATTTATCATTATAAATAATTTGTAAAAATTACCAAAATATAATAAATACTACATCTAACTTTACATTTAKTTTCTATTTTTACTAAATCATATTAAGGATTATTATCCTTAGTACAGACATTTTATTAACTCTGAAACTACTTATTTGAATTTTGATTTAGAATCCAAAAAAATTATCGGCTAAATGATTTTCATTAAAAAAGGGGGTTCTCATTTGAAAATTAGAAGTAGGTATCCCCACAGAATACTTCTTAAGAAGTACAAAATATATCAGATATCTGATAATGTGGTCTTTAAGTCTACTTAAAAATCCTAAGAATCAGAATTTGCATAAATGTACTATTAAATGGGAAAATGGGGGGAGGGGGTCACTCTGTATATTGTTATATTAAAAATTACTCTGAACTCTGAAAATATGTTAGTGTTTGAAATTGTACAAACACAAAATGCATTATAATATTATCTATTTATCGAACTCCTATTAAACAAGTTAATAAGTAACATTTTGAAATTTTTTTTATACGATATTGTCTTGTAAGTTATTAAATCGTAGTGAACTAGTAAATATTATTTCAATTTTAATTTGAACTTTGCCCTTTTGTTTAAACTTTATCTGAAAACAATGGGTGATCTCTATGAACAAACATAAACCTTCGATATATAACATTACTTAAATTGCTGTGGTTTATAAGTCATGAGTGATGAGTCATGGCTAATGATCTTACTATGTATACGTATTACGTACATACCACAGAAGTAGCTTTTTTAACTTTGTAGTTTGACGCTTTTTCTTATTCTGGCCGAAGTGTGCCATTCTATTAATGCAATGCATTTTGGACAAACTGGAAACCGCTGTCCAGTTTAACATTAATACATCCAATTGTTATAATTGTATTGGTAATTATTATATTATGTATTATTCACAGTAATTATTGCAGATACTAATTAATGAGTAATTACTAATCATGTACTAAATTTCTTGATATCTTCTCTGAATTTGTATTGAATGGATCATAGATAAACTAAATTCTGGAATAGGAATCATTATTTAACTAGGTCTTACTTCATAAATAATTAAATATTATAACTTTCTTAAACTATGATTATGTATATTTTATTTTAGATGCAACGGGGAAGACGTGAGGTTAATGTTATGGGACACAGCAGGTCAAGAAGAATTTGATGCCATTACCAAAGCATATTACAGAGGAGCCCAAGCTTGTGTGTTAGCATTTTCCACTACAGATAGAGATTCGTTTGAAGCAATTCACTCATGGAAAATCAAGGTTTCATTCTACTTAAATAATATTTTATCGGTGGATGAGTATTTATAATAGCTATTAAGTATCAACCACAAACACAAATGAGACAAAGCTAGCTACCCCCATGGGCTCATCTTAGGTTGGGCCACCAATTCAAAATCAATTTCTGTATACTATTTTATAAAATCACCATCTCTGTTTTGTTATGAAAACAACCTTGCTACTTCAGGCATGCTTATGAATTATGGAATAAGTGTTATGATCCATGGTTTTATTTTTCTTAGGACAATATTGTTAAGTATTTGATTAGAAATATACAGGAAAAAAACATTATTGTCTTGTTAAAAGTTCCTTTGATTTTAAAATACAATTTTACTAGATTTATCATAAGATTAACCTACCTATATTATTATAGTACTTTAGTTATGACTTATGAAATAAAAAAAAATTTAATTACATTAACTCATTCAATATTCAAATGTATATAATGTTGTTAATTACCTTGATAATTTGACTATGTGTTATAATTAATGTAAATGCAATAATTAATAAATAATTATAAAATAAAAAGTTGTAACCGTTGTAAATATAATACTATAGGTAGTATAAAATATGCATGTTTTTAATTCATAATTTACTAATTTTTTATAATTTTTAAAGGGTGTTGGTCTTGGTAGTAATTATTTATCTTGATTCTTCTCTTCGATAAACTCAATTACGAGTACTACAATCATTACGTAAGTTGTATAGCTTCAAAATATTGCAAACATTTATTTTAATTTAAAATTAAGTCTATGAAAAAGAGTATAAGGTACAAATTCACTAAATCTTGTAAATAAAATAAAATTTGATACAGGTGGAAGATGAATGTGGAAAGATACCAACAGTGATTGTCCAAAATAAGGTTGATCTGATAGAACGCAGCCAAGTCGATCCGTAAATATAACTATTTATTTAAATTTTATTTGTTTGTTAAATGTTTAATGTTTAAATCTTGCATTTAATTGATTTTATCCATATTATTAATGACAGTAATCTTAGTTAATGTTTTTATACTTGAAACATAAATTAATTAACCAAATAAGAAGTAAATAAAAACTTGTGCTGAAATTATAAAATGTTATACAAGTGTATCTGATTTTTAATTATTTATTGTGTTTATTTGGAATTAATTGTAGAMTGCATCATGTTGCTTATAAAGTTATGTTATAACAATAAATTAGAATCGCAATTTAAATGTTTTACAGACAAGAAGTTGACATCCTCGCCCGGTCATTAGGCTGCAAGCTAATATGCACATCAGTAAAAGACGACGTCAATGTCAACAATGTATTTAGGTATTTGGCCACACGGTGTTTGATGGAAATACAGAAAGAAGAACAGGAATATATGTCAGGGAATGGAATACACCAATCATATACAATAGGTAATTTATTTTTTTACCTTTTCAAACAGTAATTAACTTAAAATAATACTGTTACTACTTACTGACATTAATTAACAATCACCTCTCCTCAAGTTTTCTTCATAAATTTTCATGTAATAAAAAAAAATATATATATCATAAAATTAAACAATATTGGTTTTTATTAAGTAATTATAATACAATTACATACAAACATTGACATTTTTATTTGGATGATAAACATATGTAATTAACTATAAAAACAAAATATATCACTTTAAATAGTAATCAGTAGGAATGTATCTAAAATGTTAAAATATTATCTAAAGAATCAAATTAATTTACCTAATCTAATTTTAATTTTTAATCATGAAAACTATTCCCTAATATTGCAATGTAAATTAGCTTGAAGATTTATTATTATTATTATTATTATTTCAAGGTTCATTTGGTGCAGTTCCATACCACAACAGAAATTCTTCAACTACAATAAAATTAAGATCTGGAAAAATAAGACAAAAGAAAAAGAATATCTTTAAGAACTCTTGTGTCATACCATAATAATTTAAATAATAACTTTTCCAACATAAAAATGTTTGAAGTGTAATAAATAAAATATGAAACAAAATAACAATATTGAAAATAATTTATATCACTATATGTTTGTCTTGAAAACTTGTAGTTAACATTAAGAGTACGTTAATGATGAAAAATTAATTATAATTAAACAAATGGAATTATTTTAGACGATAGACAAGCTTGTCAAGCTACTGATATTTAGGTCCCACAATATAATCCAACAGGCCTTGTAGTCGTTTAATAATACGTTTTTGATCGTCAAGAGTACATCCCAAGACGGCCGTCTCGAATACCTTACACCCAAGCTCATTTTCCAATGGACTACAAGAAGCTATGTATGACTGACACATAGCCTTGGCATTATCGGGATCATCCTTCAATGTATTCACTAGTCTGTCAATCATCAAATTGATTTCTTCCAAACAATTTTGCTGACTTTCACTCCTGGTGGTGAGTACATGGATGTTAACAGTTTCACATCTGTCTATGATACGATTGGCAAACTGATTTATGTCTTCTTTGTCAGCTGAAACCATACGTTAAATGTAATGGTATAATGTATTGTACAATGTACATGGGAATCAGATGCTCACCGTCACTCAATTGGTTCAGTATTTCGGAATTCCTCACGTTTTCTACGTTACTGTAGACATTTTCGAGATCCTCTGCCATCTTCAAAGCCTCTTTTCGTATACTTTCAATGTGCATTTCGGCATGGTCCAACATTGTGGTCAGATACTTTTTGGATTTTTGGTGTCCTTCGTCTTCCATCACGAGTTCTGTAAACAATCAAGACGTCTTCTTCCCAACAATTTCAAACTATTTACTTTTCTAGAATGTTAAAGAATTCTGATCGTTAGTCACAATATTACGTTAAAGAACTTATACTTCGGCAAAGAAGAGACRATATGAACCTATGTAACAACTTAAAAAAATCAAAAACTTTAATGTTCTCTTCGGTGTTTTGGTTGTAATGAAAAAAAATAATAACAGAACAACAGAACAGACAATATTGCTAAGTTGTGATTAATCATCGACAGATTGATATTGGACATGGATACTATGAACCGTCATTAGAGATTAGACTCCTTAAAGTGTTGTCACAGATAATAAAGTTTTATATAACCTATGGTGTTATCATTATCATAGATTATGTTGTTTACCTAATTTTATGTCTATTTAATGTCTGTGGTCATTAATCATTATGGAATATTAAAACAAAAACAGACAACAGTATACCTTCCACCGAACTACGTAAAACGGTAAAACCAAATACTCCGCATGAATATTTGGTACTCTAAACCGACGTGTCACTCTTCAGCAGGCTTCAGTCAGCTGCTGCACGTCCACCGAATACCGATACTCGATAGTAGTTGCCTTTCTCGATGTTATTGCCTAAATTCTTATCAGTTATAGATAAGTAAATTAATAAAAATATTATTTTTCGCATCGGCTGGAAACGAAAACCAAATCCTAATTCCTAATCACCGGCGCCGCTTAGGTAATGAAAGGACTATTGAATGAAAATTGAATAGGCTTGTGYGAGGGAAATAGAGCAAGTGCAAATCTGGCGCAACCAATATTCATCATCTAGTATCTACAGTTTACACGATTAATTTAAATTGTCATGATAGTTTATCTTATGATGAATATAGATAGCGCTAGATTCGCACTTGCACCTATTTTCAGTATTTCCCCATGCTACGATATTGACTGTCGAGTGTCGAGTCGTCTACAATTCTCTAGAACATTCTAGATCATACAATGATATACTTCTGCAATGTATAAATGTATTTAGATATACAGGATGTCCCACAGAGATCTGACAAATGAAATAACTTGTTCTAATCAATATTTTTAAAAAATTTCTTTTAAATATAATTCATAGAAACTTGCGCTACATTTTCAGAATACATTTTTTATTTTTTAATACTGAAAATAAAAAACTTAAAAATTGATAAAAATTTTTTTCGAAATATTCATTATAGCCAATTTGTAAATCTGATTTTTAGAACAATGTATATGGTAAAAACACTTATTTAAGTCAAATGGCTGATTTTTTACAATTAGTTTACAATATTTTTGTTAAGTAAATTACGATCTAGTTTATGTTAGAAACCTTGTAATTTCAAATAATAATAAAGTTTTTTTTAAATATTTTATAAGAACATTTTAAATAAGTGCATGTTCAAATCTAATTATTTTTTTTATTGTATTTATTTTAATAACATGTGATGTATAAACTATAATTTACTATAATTTACCTAACGAAAATATTGATATTTAAAAAAATTGTAAAAAAATATTGATTAGAACAAAAGTTATTTCATTTGTCAGAATGTCAGATCTCTTTGGGACATCCTGTATAGTCCATGTAGAAGATTTCTAGTCTCTACTCTCTAAGCTTACAAGCTTACAACAACCTTAGGGACCAAGCTTCCGTTACTCGTCCGCCAATTCGTTTCCAGTCCATTCCATCTTAGGCCATGATTGGTGATTTTTATGGACCAGGTCATCACCACGATTAAAACATAATATAAATATTAAATTATAAGATATGTTAAACCGTGGTCATCACCAATTATGACAAAATGTATTCAAAATAGATCCATCTATAATTATTTACTTTATAGATCTAATTTGTCGATTGTAGGTTATATTCAATGGTCGTCATAGGCGTAATTTCAGTTGTTGACTTGGAGGAGCTTAATATATTTAAATAAAACAGACCAGTGGGCGGCTATGACACCGCTCTGTTCAAATACCTTTAAAGTTAAAAATATATTCATATTTTTCCTCATCCATTATTCTACATTAAATATTATATTTATATTGTCTTCAATGAGCCATTTGTTCCTGGTCAAAAAATGAGTCCAACATCGACATTTGGTCCCMTTTAAATCATCTGTCAAAATTGAAGCAATATTTTTCAGAAAAATTTTAGTTGGTGTAATTATAAAATTTAAATTCATTTCAATACAATTTTCTTACTTTTAATAATTTTCACCTGAATAATTTAAATCCATGTACTGGTATTAAGTCCTATATTCTAACATGGTATTGCAAACATTACATTTTATTAGTAGGTAGTAGTTTGGATCAAATTTATGATTTTGAAAGTTGTGTTTTTGTAGGTCTTGGAAAACTATTAATTTAACARATAATTTATTACAATTAGCATAAATTATAAACTTTCATTAGACCTAAAATAAGTCATATTATTTTTGTTATTTTTAATGCTTGACATTTTCAGAAACTTATAACATAATCAGAGCCATTCTAAAGCAATATATATATATATAATATGTACATATATATTTGRCATCAAGGAACTATTAAAAATTTAAAACGGCTTATTATATTTTATGTATAATAAATATGAATATGTGAAAGATATCGCTCTATAGAAAACCATTTCACCAATAAAGGSCCTGAACATAATAAACAGATCACTGAATCAAATACGTGGAAAGGTAACATGTAATAATCAAAATATAATCTGGATTAGAAGTCTTAACATCACGATAGCTGTCATGTTTGGTTACTAATCACACATAAAATATGGAAGCTACAAAAAACAAAATGTTTAAAAAATTCTTGGTATCATTCAGTAGAATTGTAAAATTAAAATAAAAACTGTACTWAATACGGTGGGCTTAGGAGTATTATACTTAGTGTTTCTTTCAACAATGCAAATTTTCKATAAATTTACTTTACTTATTTATAAACAAAATAATTAGGACATTTCTGGTTTTGTCCGAGAATTGTTTACCTATGTCAGTTGATAGCTCAATAAAATAGCTCTCTAAAATTTAAAAAAATATGGTAAAAAGTTGAATAGTTTTCAAAGTGCATAAGCAAATATGCAGTAGGTTTGGTTTTGTTTAAAAATGTCCAATTATTCATAACTGATAAAATAAAAAAGTTAGACTCTCCTTTTGAAGGGGTATTTTTTTACATATTATGATATATTAWCTGACCGGTCACTTTTTGTAAATTATCTTGTACATTGTATTACTATCTAAAAATCAAATTATATTATTTACTTCTGGTAAACCCTGATGCAATATTCTTTAACTAAAAAAAATATATTTATTAACTAGAATAAATGTATTATTAATTATCACATAGTATTTTAAAATACCAAGATAGTCWTATATAGTAAAATTTAATTAGAAATTATAGAAACAAAATATTATTTTATTGTAGATAAAATCATATCTAATTGTTTACGTTTAGAGTTGACAAGTTTTTTATGTTTTTTTAAATCACTAGAACCCATCCCTCTTGGTAATTCATCTTCATCCAAGAGTATTTCCATCTCTTCAGCAGCTTTATTGAACCAATTTGTGGATGCTGTCTCTTTTTTTGCCTTTTCTTCCAACGTAGTTACCTCCTGGGCTAGTTTTACACATACAAGGTATGTTTGCAATATTCGCAGTTGTACCTCTAATCTTGGCAATTCTTTTTCTCTTTTCATTGTCCTCAAAACATTCAAGTAAACATTCTTCTTATCCGGAGTACATATTAAAAGTGACAACCCAATGTTTGACGCTCTTGCTGTACGACCACTACGATGAATGTAGATTTCAGCTGTTCTTGGGACATCATAATGTATAACATGATTAACACCAATAATGTCAAGACCTCTTGAAGCTACATCAGTGGCAAGCAATAAGCCATGGTCGTTGGCTCGGAATTTGTCTAAATTTTTAAGCCTTTGTTTCTGAATCATATTTGAATGTATAGGTAATGGATTTAATTTGAGAATACTTAAGACACTAGCAAGTCTTTTCACACAACTTATACTATTGCARAACACTAAACTTCTACCRGGATTTCGTTTCAAAAAATAATACAAATATCCGTCTTTTTCCTTGACTGAGCAAAATATTTGCATTTCTTTCACTGTACTAGTAACACAATTTACAGTTGTCAAGTTTACAACATGTGGATTTTTCATACCTATCAACTGAATTAAACTTTTTAATTTATCTTCRGGTGTCAAATTTTTTTTAACTTTTTTCTTATTCTTAATGTTTATTCTGTATGGAGCTTTGTGCACCATGGTAAGCGTTGCGGAAAACACAAAATTCTGTCGTTTATTATTTTTTTTTAAATTGATTTTCTCAAGCATAAGATGTAATTCAGGAAAATGAGCAGTCTCCACCATACGATCTGCTTCATCAATTACAAAGTACTTGACTTTATTCAACTGCATCAAATGAGGCTCATTTCTCTGTACCATTTCCCAAAGACGTCCGGGAGTAGCAACAATAATGTCTGGACCTTTTTTTAAAATTCTTTCTTGTTTTTCAGTTGACAATCCACCAACAATAGCAGCAATACTAATGTCTGTGAATTTTGCCACATCCTCAATGTGGTTCTTTACTTGCATGGCAAGCTCACGGGTGGGTACAAGTATGACTGCCCATAATTTTTTATTTGTTCTCGTATAATTATCTGGGGGTAAATTGACGACRGCCACACAACCTAGTCCATTCTCATCGAGTTCTTCTAAAACTTCTGGTTCACTGTAATTTTCTGAGTCAGAATTAGAATCTGACTCTGAATCAGAATCTGAAGCATCTGATACCGGTTTTGCAGATTTYTCATTGAGTATGCCATTTAAAATAGGTATTGCAAAAGCAAGTGTCTTACCACTTCCAGTTTCAGCGGCACCAAGTATGTCTCTATGATCGTTGATGGCTGGAGGAATTGATTCCGATTGAATCTTTGTAGGTTTTGTGAAGTTTTTYAATTTGAGAGCGTTTAATATTTCTGTCCGAATATTCAGCGGTTTCCAATTGTCCATTGCTGTTGGACGAAAACCTTATAAAATAAATAGAAAGTGACAATACATACTCTCCAATAATAATATTAATTGTATTTAGAATTTACTTACCAGTTGGCAGTTATTCTAATACAGCAATAATTAACTATTTAATTTATAATTGTTTGAATGTTTGATATTTTATTATTTTCAATTTTGTATTTCTCATTTGATTACTTGACTTAATTGATAACTGATAGTAGTTATCTACTTTGTAAGCAAGCACGTGCGGRCGGGAATATTATTTRAGGTTATGTGCAATTTGCGCCAATTCATWAGAATTCAAATTCTAGGCTATTAC